GGGGCCAGCGCCTGTCATTAAAGCGCACCTAAATCCTTCCAAGTGGCTTGACAGTACCATTACTTCCAGGGTAACCCCAGAAACAGCAGCCCTGCTCAGTTCCTCTGCAGCTACCTCTTCAGCTGCCCTCCTCCACCACTGGTCGCAGGCAGCTCTGAGCAGCCCCTCCCTGCTGGTTCCTAATCTAGTGGCTATACCTGAGGCAGGATGAGCTTCCCGAGACCCAGGACCTGGCGCCTGCCCAAGAACAGCCAACCTGCATCAGGGCTCGGAGGGAGGCTCTGTCCTCGGGGTCTGTTCACACCAAGCCCACCCCACAGAGAGGCTAATGGCTCAGGGACAGAAAGTGCAATGCCACAGGGATCTATAAAGGGACTTTACTGTAACTGGGATGTTTGAAAAAGGACAAGAAAGCAGCACACACAGTGACATCTGCTAAGTATATGGTACCTTGGTAATGCCAAAACGTTTAACAAGTCTCAGAAGAGTCACCATAGAATCCCCTTCACTAACAAGGTTCTGGACACATTTAACCTCTTTTCCCTTTTATTCATGATGCGGTGCATGCACGAGAGTCAGAAACGGATAGAGAGAGACAGGCAGCCTCCATAGTGTATGCTCTCACCATGGTCCCCTCCTCCAGGCCCCCAGCGCATCAGTCCCAGGCACTCGCACACATGCCTGTGTCTGCTGGACCAGGCTGGGGACTTGAACCACAGTCACTGTGTAGGACCCCGCTTCCCGTAAGCAGCGTATTACTCTGCACCTTGGAGCTGCCCGAGGTAAGCACGTTTCCAAACATCCAATCATACAAACATCTATGCCTCTGTACGCACATGGGCACCAAGGGACTTCAAGAAGCTTATGGATGGGCCCAGGGGGCGAGGCAGTTTAGGCACCAGACTCAAACATAGGCAACCACAGTTCAAGTTCCAGACCTGGTGGCTTGCTTTCTCTTCCTCTTTCAGACGGTGCAAGCCCTTCTTCACCTCCTGGAACTTGGTGTCCCTTTTCTCCTGCATTTTCTAGAGTTCGTTCTCTCTCTTCTCTTGCATCTCTATTAGCTTTGTCACTATGAAAATTTAAAATTCTTTATCTGACATTTCCATGAATTCCCTTGTATTATCTGTGGAGGAGAAGTTATTCTTTTCCATTGGGGGAGAGAGATTTTCTTGGTTTCTCATATCTCTTGTGCCTCTGCAGTGGTTTCTGGCCATCTGATGTATTATACGCTTTTTCCTAGTTTTTGGAGTTAAACCTGAGCGTTCCAAGGCATGCAGGAGGAGGTGACCCTCAATCTCCAAACAGTACCGTTTTTCTGCCTTTGTGCAGCAGATTCGATGGAAACTGAGGATTAATCTGACCCTGAAAGTACTCGGGTATTTGGCTGCTGAGCACCTAGACCTGACTAGAAAATCAGCGTGTGGAGGCTGAGCAGAAAAGTGAGAAAGGTAAAAAGAAGAGGGAAAGAAAAAGGAAAAAGAGAAAGAGAGAAAGACAAAAACAATAAAAAAAAAGGGGGGGGGAATTACTAAGCCAAAACTGAGAACAGCACAGCACATGCGCCTCACCAACAGGGCAGTCAGAACTCAGATGCAGACAGCTGCTGACTGCCTTGTCCTACGGGGCAGGGAGAAAGGTAAGCATTAGCAAGATGAAAGAGGCAGAGCGCTAAGAAGTTTAACACTTAAAGAAAATACATTTTAAATAGAGAAAGACAGAGAGAATAAAGGTGCTCTAACCTGGCTCCTGGCTAGATCTGGGGGGCAGCAGGGTGAGGTCTGGGCAGAGGGTCTTCAGTGGCCCTAATCCCTCAAGACAAGCTTCAAAATACTTTTAACAAAAGTTCCATTTCCTCTCCTCTTTAATCCATTTTTAAATTGTTGCCACAAAGTTTAATATTGGGAAAAATGAAAGTCCACTGCAACATTTCTAAAGCTAAAGGTTTGTGTATTTTTTAATAGAAAGTAAGTTCTGTTTAGTTAGAAAGCAAATGTCTATGATCAATTGCTTTTTTCATGGTAATCTGGAGCAATTTCACTAGTTACCAGTTGCTTACAATTAAAAAAAAATTAGGGCACAAAAACATCTCCCAATTTTTAGCTCACCCCTTTGTGTCCAGGCAGTATAACAAAATAATAAACACGGTTTGGGTAGAAATTGATGGTAACTTTCCATGCAAAAAACTCCGTTACGGGAAAGATTTCCACTTTCAGCATCATCCCCTCGCTCTACCTTCTAACAGTTTCCTACTGAAACATTTATACTGTACCCTCCTAAACAGCAGGGCATGACGTAGAAGGTGCTTGCTGAGCATGGGATGCCACCAAACCTGGCCAGGCAACTATGCCACACGGCCTCACCTCTCAGACGTCACTGCGCGAACCGACGAGGGCTTCCCTTTGTCATTCATGATCACTGTCCATCCTTTGGCCACTCCTGACAACCTTTAATTTGTATGTTTTGAAAAACCTTCCAGAAGGCTGCAGCCTTGGAGCTGGGTTGGGGACTGGGGCACACAGCTGGGCACGTTCCTGGGCCTGCCCAAGCTGCCACGTGGTGTGAGGCTTCAGCCCCATCACCAAGCAGCTGGACACCCATGCTACCTTCCGGAAGAAGCTGGAGAGCTGACATATCGGCCAAGCCAGTATGGGAGGCAGAGAGGCCTGTAAGATGGCGTGAGCACCAGACAGCACCCACACGGCAGGCACAGGGAGTCCGTGCAAGCCTCTGCCATGCGTACCCTCCGAGGTACTTCAACGGGAAGCCCTCACTGTGATCACTTATTGGCCACCCCACACAGAAAAAGTCTTTGTGTCTTTGTACACGAATTCCAACAGTTTCAGCCATCCACTGCACACATCAAGGAAGCTCAGAAACCATTACAGCTGTTCATGGAACAATACAGGGTTTGGTTTAGAGACAAGAACTCCTCACCCAGGACAGAAATGGTCAATGCGCATTTGGGTGTTACATGCACTGTACACTGCAATCTCACGATGAAGTGAAGAATGCTAAGGAAAAGAACACCTGGTTAAGAAAATTGTCAGGAAAAGAAAATACAGTTGCAGGACTGCACTGCATTTTCCAAATCATATACTGAGAAAAACCCACGAGTGGACCTGTAGTTCAAGCCTGTGCTTTTTAAAGGCCAGCTGTACACTGCAGCATTTGAAGCCCAGAGTAAAACACCTCTCCAGGTTCCAGAAAGCAAAATAGGGGGCCCTGCTAAATGAGTGTTACTGTTAGTCATTTCACTGCTCACAGGTCTGCAGGCCCAAACGCTCTGCAGCTATGGATTCTATCCAACTGTAAATTAAAATCCTCCCCTTTTTCTTTTAGTTTTTGTTACAGGACACAGGCACTCTCCAAAGAGAGAGAAAGAGGTTAAGCAAGAAATCAACCCTAGAGGGTCAGTCATACAGTAGACCCTTCTCCTCCATTCTCCTTTGGGGACTATGCACACACGTGCACCTGGCATGATTTTGCAAGCTACTGGGTCCAAGACCCAAACCACGCAGTTGCCCACGTGGGATCCAGTCACCTTAGCCTCCAAACTACCTGCTGGCCCCCCCTTTTAAAATTTCTTTATTTTCAGGTTTTTTAGTTTTGCTATAGGGTACACTTACTTACCAGATGGAGGGAGAGAAGTGAGAAATCACCCCCAGGGAGGACAGCCATCCCGCAATCCCTTCTCCTTCATTCTCCTCTCAGGATCTTAGACACGCACACATATATACCTGCACAGTCAGCCACATGGGATCTAGCACCTTAACCACCAGGCCACCTGCTGGCCCCACACGCTAGTTCCTTTCCTTCTTTTTTAAAGAATTCTTGGGATCAGCAGTTAGCGTAATGGCTATGTCGCTGGACTCCCACGTAGTCGAGCGCGGTTCGAGTCCCGGACCCGGTGGCTTAAACTCACGCGGGGGCAGGAGAGGGGGGGGGACCAGCAGTTGGCGTAATGGCTATGTCGCTGGACTCCCATGTAGTCAACTGCGGTTCATGTCCCAGACCTGGTGGCTTAAAACTCACGCCAGGTGCATGTACATGCGTGCCCAAGATCCCAAGAGGAGAATGGAGAAGGGATTGCGGTGTGGCCATTCCCCCTGGGGGGGGGTGATGTCTCGCTTTCTGTCTCTCTGTCTCTCTCTGGCTGGCTGGCGAGTGCACACGCCCAATAGTGAAAAAAACTCTCAAAAAACAGAAAAACAAACAAACAAAAAAAACTCACGCCAGGCACGTGTGCGTGCGTGCCCAAGATCCCGAGAGGAGAACAGAGGTGAAATGGTTGCGGTATGGCCATC